GCTGGTGGGTTCCATTTTGTATAGGGTGCTGGCAGATTACGGGCCTCCCATTGCTGCTGCCAGGCCCGTAATCTGTCCTGGGCCCCTGTACCGCCTCCTCATGCTGCTGCCAGGTCCAGAGTCTGCTCATGGGTCCCTGTACGGCCTCCCATTGCTGCTGTCTCCATCGCCACACTCTGGGCCAATGTGCCACTTTCAGGTCTCCTCACATGCTGGTGGGTTCCTTTTTTTGTCATAGGGTGCTGGCAGATTACGGGCCTCCCATTGCTGCTGCCAGGCCCGTAATCTGCCATTGGGCCCCCGTACCGCCTCCTCATGCTGCTGCCAGGTCCGTAGATGTGTGTCATGGGTCCCTGTACGGCCTCCCATTGCTGCTGTCTCCCCATCGCCACACTCTGCCATGTGCCACTTTCAGGTCTCCTCACACTGCTGGTGGGTTTCCATTTTGTCATAGGGTGCTGGGCCTCCCATTGCTGCATGCCATATACCTGGGCCTCCCGGGACTTCATGCTGCTGCCAGGCCCGTAATCTGCCATGGGCCCCTGTACCCGCCTCCTCATGCTGCTGCCAGGTCCAGAGTGTGTCATGGGTCCCTGTACGGCCTCCCATTGCTGCTGTCTCCATCGCCACACTCTGCCATGTGCCACTTTCAGGTCTCCTCACACTGCTGGTGGGTTCCATTTTGTCATAGGGTGCTGGCAGATTACGGGCCTCCCATTGCTGCTGCCAGGCCCGTAATCTGCCATGGGCCCCCGTACCGCCTCCTCATGCTGCTGCCAGGCCCGTAATCTGTCATGGGTCCCCTGTACCGCCTCCTCATGCTGCTGTCAGGCCACACTCTGTCATGGGCCACTGTCACGGTCTCTCATTGCTGCTGGTCCAGGCCCATTTTGTCATAGGGTGCTGGCAGATTACGGCCTCCCATTGCTGCTGCCAGGCCCGTAATCTGTCATGGGCCCCTGTACCGCCTCCTCATGCTGCTGCCAGGTCCAGAGTGTGTCATGGGTCCCTGTACGGCCTCCCATTGCTGCTGTCTCCATCGCCACACTCTGCCATGTGCCACTTTCTCAGGTCTCCTCACACTGCTGGTGGGTTCCATTTTGTCATAGGGTGCTGGCAGATTACGGGCCTCCCATTGCTGCTGCCAGGCCCCGTAATCTGCCATGGGCCCCCGTACCGCCTCCTCATGCTGCTGCCCCGTAATCGTCATGGGCCCCTGTACCGCCTCCTCATGCTGTCTGCCAGGTCCAGGTGTGTCATGGGTCCCTGTACGGCCTCCCATTGCTGCTGTCTCCATCGCCACACTCTGCCATGTGCCACTTTCAGGTCTCCTCACACTGCTGGTGGGTTCCATTTTGTCATAGGGTGCTGGCAGATTACGGGCCTCCCATTGCTGCTGCCAGGCCCGTAATCTGCCATGGGCCCCCGTACCGCCTCCTCATGCTGCTGCCAGGCCCGTAATCTGTCATGGGTACCCCTCCCATGTGCTGTCCTCATGCCACACTGCTGCCATGTTCAGGTCTCCTAGCTGTGGGTGTCATTTTGGGTCCCTGTACGGCCTCCATTGCTGCTGCCAGGCCCGTATTTCTGCATGGGCCCCCCCAGTACGGGCTCCTCCCATGCTGCTGCCCAGGCCCGTAATCTGTCATGGGCCCCTGTACGCCTCCTCCTCATGCTTGCTGCCAGGTCCAGAGTGTGTCATGGGTCCCTGTACGGCCTCCCATTGCTGCTGTCTCCATCGCCACACTCTGCCATGTGCCACTTTCAGGTCTCCTCACACTGCTGGTGGGTTCCATTTTGTCATAGGGTGCTGGCTGATTACGGGCCTCCCCATTGCTGCTGCCAGGCCCGTAATCTGCCATGGGCCCCCGTACCGATCCTCAATAATCTGTCATGGGCCCCTGTACCGACCTCCTCATGCTGCTGCCAGGTCCAGAGTGTGTCATGGGTCCCTGTACGGCCGCCTTGCCTCTCCTGCTGCTGTGCCACCATTTCGGTCCACACTGAGGTGTGTTCCATGGGTGCCACTTTACGGCCTCCCATTGCTGCTGCCAGGCCCGTAATCTGCCATGGGTGCCCCCGTACCGACTCCTCCCATGCTGCTGCCAGGCCCGTAATCTGTCATGGGCCCCCCTGTGTACCGCCTCCTCATGCTGCTGCCAGGTCCAGAGTGTGTCATCATGGGTCCCTGTACGGCCTCCCATTGCTGCTGTCTCCATCGCCACACTCTGCCATGTGCCACTTTCAGGTCTCCTCACACTGCTGGTGGGTTCCATTTTTGTCATAGGGTGCTGGCAGATGGGCCTCCCATTGCTGCTGCCAGGCCCGTAATTGCCATGGGCCCCCGTACCGACTCCTCATGCTGCTGCCAGGCCCGTAATCTGTCATGGGCCCCTGTACCGCCGCCTCCTCATGCTGCTGCCAGGTCCAGAGTGTGTCATGGGTCCCTGTACGGCCTCCCATTGCTGCTGTCTCCATCGCCACACTCTGCCATGTGCCACTTTCAGGTCTCCTCACACTGCTGGTGGGTGGTTCCATTTTGTCATAGGGTGCTGGCAGATTACGGGCCTGCCCATTGCTGCTGCCATTGTGCTGGGCCCCTGTACCGCACTCCTCATGCTGCTGCCAGGTCCAGGTGTCCATGGGTCCCCTGTAATGGCCTCATGCTGCTGTCTCATCGCCACATTCTGCTGCCATGCTGCTCAGGCCCGTAATCTGCCATGGGCCCCCGTTACGACTTGCTGCTGTGCTCTCATGCTGCTGCCAGGCCAATAATCTGTGCCATGGGCCCCTGTACCGCCTCCTCATGCTGCTGCCAGGTCCAAGAGTGTGTCATGGGTCCCTGTACGGCCTCCCATTGCTGCTGTCTCCATCGCCACACTCTGCCATGTGCCACTTTCAGGTCTCTCACACTGCTGGTGGGTTCCATTTTGTCATAGGGTGCTGGCAGATTACGGGCCTCCCATTGCTGCTGCTGCCCAGGCCCGTAACTCTGCCATGGGCCCCTGTACCGACTCCTCATGCTGCTGCTGCCAGGTCCCGTAGTCTGTCATGGGGTCCCCTGTACGGCCTCCCATCATGCTGTGCTGCCAGGTCCAGAGTGTGTCATGGGTCCCTGTACGGCCTCCATTGCTGCTGCCAGGCCCGTAATTCTGCCATGGGCCCCCCCGTGTACCCTCCATTGCTGCTGCCAGGTCCAGTAATGTGTCATGGGCCCTGTACCGCCTCCTCATGCTGCTGTGGGGTCATCCACTGTGTGTGTCATGGGTTTCAGGGTACGGCCTCCCATTGCTGCTGCCAGGCCCGTAATGCTGGCATGGGGCCCCCCACCGACTGCCTCATATCTGCTGCTGCCAGGCCCCTCATGTAATCTGTAATCTGTCATGGGCCCCTGTACCGCCTCTCCTCATGCTGCTGCCAGGTCCAGAGTGTGTCATGGGTCCCTGTACGGCCTCCCATTGCTGCTGTCTCCATCGCCACACTCTGCCATGTGCCACTTTCAGGTCTCCTCACACTGCTGGTGGGTTCCATTTTGTCATAGGGTGCTGGCAGATTACGGGCCTCCCATTGCTGCTGCCAGGCCCGTAATCTGCCATGGGCCCCCGTACCGACTCTCCTCATGCTGCTGCCAGGCCCGTAATCTGTCATGGGCCCCTGTACCGCCTCCTCATGCTGCTGCCAGGTCCAGAGTGTGTCATGGGTCCCTGTACGGCCTCCCATTGCTGCTGTCTCCATCGCACACTCTGCCATGTGCCACTTTCAGGTCTCCTCACACTGCTGGTGGGTTCCATTTTGTCATAGGGTGCTGGCAGATTACGGGCCTCCCATTGCTGCTGCCAGGCCCGTAATCTGCCATGGGCCCCCGTACCGACTCCTCATGCTGCTGCCAGGCCCGTAATCTGTCATGGGCCCCTGTACCGCCTCCTCATGCTGCTGCCAGGTCCAGAGTGTGTCATGGGTCCCTGTACGGCCTCCCATTGCTGCTGTCTCCATCGCCACGTACACTCTGCCATGTGCCACTTTCAGGTCTCCTCACACTGCTGGTGGGTTCCATTTTGTCATAGGGTGCTGCAGATTACGGCCTCCCATTGCTGCTGCCAGGCCCCCTAATCTGCATGGGCCCCGTACCGACCTCCTCATGCTGCTGCCAGGTCCAGGTCCAGAGTGTGTCATGGGGTCCAGAGTGTACGGGTCCTGTATTGGCCTCTGCTGTCTCCATCGCCACACTCTGCCATGTGCCACTTTCAGGTCTCCTCACACTGCTGGTGGGTTCCATTTTGTCATAGGGTGCGTGGCAGATTACGGGCCTCCCATTGCTGCTGCCAGGCCCGTAATCTGCCATGGGCCCCCCGTACCGACTCCTCATGCTGCTGCCAGGCCCGTAATCTGTCATGGGCCCCTGTACCGCCTCCTCATGCTGCTGCCAGGTCCAGAGTGTGTCATGGGTCCCTGTACGGCCTCCCATTGCTGCTGTCTCCATCGCCACACTCTGCCATGTGCCACTTTCAGGTCTCCTCACACTGCTGGTGGGTTCCATTTTGTCATAGGGTGCTGTATTTACGGCCTCCCATTGCTGCTGCATGCCAGGCCCGTAATCTGCCATGGGCCCCCGTACCCGCCTCCTCATGCTGCTGCCAGGTCCAGTATGGGTCTACGTCCATGGGCTGTCTCCATGTACACTCTTGCATGCTGCTGCCAGGTCCAGACACTGCTGTGTCATGGGTCCCTGGTGCGGTATGGCCTCCCATTGCTGCTGCCAGGCCCGTAATCTGCCATGGGCCCCCGTACCGACTCCTCATGCTGCTGCCAGGCCCGTAATCTGTCATGGGCCCCTGTACCGCCTCCTCATGCTGCTGCCAGGTCCAGAGTGTGTCATGGGTCCTGTACGGCCTCCCATTGCTGCTGTCTCCATCGCCACACTCTGCCATGTGCCACTTTCAGGTCTCCTCACACTGCTGGTGGGTTCCATTTTGTCATAGGGTGCTTGCTGGCAGATTACGGGCCTCCCATTGCTGCTGCCAGGCCCGTAATCTGCCATGGGCCCCCGTACCGACTCCTCATGCTGCTGCCAGGCCCGTAATCTGTCATGGGCCCCTGTACCGCCTCCTCATGCTGCTGCCAGGTCCCAGTCTGTCATGGGTCCCTGTACGGCCTCCCATTTGCTGCTGTCTCCATCGCCACACTCTGCCATGTTGCCACTTTGGTCACACTGCTGGTGGGTTCCATTTTGTCATAGGGTGCTGGCAGATTATGGGGCCTCCCATTGCTGCTGCCAGGCCCGTAATCTGCCATGGGCCCCCGTACCGACTCCTCCTCATGCTGCTGCCAGGCCGTAATCTGTCATGGGCCCCTGTACCGCCTCCTCATGCTGCTGCCAGGTCCAGAGTGTGTCATGGGTCCCTGTACGGCCTCCCATTGCTGCTGTGTCTCCATCGCCACACTCTGCCATGTGCCACTTTCAGGTCTCCTCACACTGCTGGTGGGTTCCATTTTGTCATAGGGTGTGGCTGTTATGGCCTCCCATTGCTGCTGCCAGGCCCGTAATCTGCCATGGGCCCCCGTACCGACTTTTCATGCTGCTGCAGGCCCGTAATCTGTCATGGGCCCTGTACCGCCTCTCATGCTGCTGCCAGGTCCAGAGTGTGTCATGGGTCCCTGTACGGCCTCCCATTGCTGCTGTATCTCCATCGCCACACTCTGCCATGTGCCACTTTCAGGTCTCCTCACACTGCTGGTGGGTTCCATTTTTCATAGGGTGCTGTATGGCCTCCCATTGCTGCTGCCTCCACCGCCACACTGTGGCTCCACACTCTGGTTTTGGCCCCCTATGATGCCCAATATGAGTGAAGTGTGCGGTGATTCTAAGATCGACGGCACTCATCTGCATGTCATACTGAATGACAGTATTATTTCTCTTCCCCAGCAGACTCCAAGGGCATTTAAATTAAAGGTACAGTGTTCTGCACTAATATAAAGGCTCTCTGATGCCTAGAAACACCCTTTTTATAAGTTAAATTCGCAGCGAATATATTCGACTCGAATTCTAATTTATTCTGCGAATTCGCCGAATCAGCCGAATCTAATTTTTGAATAATTCGCTCATCTCTAGTAATAACCAGACTCCACATAGTGGAGTGGTGTTAAAAAGTCAATTGTGATATATTAATAACCATTTAAAGGACAAGAGGAGACGATAGTGACGATAGAATGGTGTTTAACAAACACTGCAACACAGGGAAAGAATGGCTGTGGGATTGGAAGTGTGATGTTTGATACCTATTGCTGTATATTCAACAGACATCAGCTGAATCCTGGTGGGAATTCACAGTAGGATCACCCCATCATTAACTAAAGAAGCACATATCAGATGAAAAAAAGATTTCCAAAGGTTTAGGCCCCATGTAAACGGTACGTTTCTGAACGATGGAAACTGACTGCTGGAAAACATAGGTTAAAAAACGTCTGTTTTGCCACATTTGCATAACGCGTTTATGAGCGTTTGCTATTTAGAAGCGGTTTTTTAAAGATAAGCACAGGAGATCCTCCCCAAATGCTAGAATGACTGAAAAGTGGCAAATTATTAACTATTTCAGACTGTTTCAGTGTAATACTACACAGTAGAAGCAGAGACAGCAGGATGTGTTGAGATTATTAGGTGTGAGTTGCCCATTAACATTCTTTTTGTTTCCAAGGGTGGGAAGGTGTTCTGCTGGAGTGAGTACATTAAGGTCACCTGGCAGGAGGTCTTCATGAGGAATTTGAGGTGTGAAATGGACATTAACATATCTTTTGTTTCCAAGGGGTGGGAGAGGTCTGAGGTGTGAATTGGTCATTACAATGTGTGACCAGCTTGGTAGGAAAATCCTGTGTTAAGTGTTTTGTCCATCTGAGCACCTTGAAAACTCTTTGCATGCATTTTTTCATGATAAAAAAAGGCTCTGCACAGCATTGGGAAACTGGAAGAGTTAAAAACAATTTTCAAATGCAAACGCTTATAAACGTGATTTGCCGCGTTTAGACGCGTTTACAATTTTTTGTTTTTTTTTTTTGCCTTTGAAACACTGATAAAATCGACATCTGAATGCAATTTTGTTACTTTAAAAAAAACGACTGTAAACTCAACTGCCTGTAAATGACTATAAACGAAGATGTGTACATTAGACACATAGGAAAACATTAGGGTGAGTTTAGGGGCTGCTGAAAAAAATGCTGAACAGCTCCTAAACGTGAGTTTAGCAGCTGCAGTATACATGAGCGCTTAACGTTCAGGAAAAAAAACTTATGTTCTTCATCGTGACAGCATCAAGTAATCAAAGTTTTCTGGCAAAATTTGGTGATGGCCAACAGTATACACTGAATAGTTGTAGCTTACAACACAGGGAATGCCCTAAGCCCCTCAACTGCAAAGGTGATTCTCATATAGCGATTTGTGCATTAAAGCACTTATTTTAGCAGCTTTCTTGCATTCACCCCCCACCTATGCATTATCAGCTGCAATCATGTACACAGCAGATTTGCTGTCTAAAATACTAAACTGAATCCAAATTCTCCTTTGAGGCTGACCTAAAGCGGAACTTCATTAAACATTCACAACATAAACATTCCCCTAGCAATTCCCTCCCCGTCCAAAAGTAAAATATCATTGGCATTGGCTTTCACATTCTGCAGCTTCAGCAGGGCAGACCTGAAATGTGTTATTGGAGGCTTACTTTCTGAACCATAAGAGTCAGCTGGCTCCCTCATTGTCCATCAGCGAAGAAAGCTGGCAGCATGGGACCCAGTATGTGACAGTCGTGAGTGGATGATCACAGCAGGACACTACCAAATTCCCTGGGTGAGGGAGTATGTGAATTCTAGGATAAAAGGCAAGAATAAACTTAAAACAAATGACCGAACAGAGGGTGGATGGGGGGGGAGGATGTGATGTTCCTCTTTAGTATTGAGAAAAATCTCTGTACCCCAGTTTTTTTTTAAGAATGTTGTAACATCATTCATTAGATGTTTTGTTCTCCTTTTTTCTGTCCTAGCATTGCAGAACAATGCATATCCATCACAGTACCCTGGTGCTTACAACCTCCTTATTCAGTATCAGTATGGTAAATATAAACTAAATTATCTTTTTTGTTTTTCCCAGATGTATATTAGTGTCTTTTATACATAAATAGAGGTACTATTTACAGGTGTGTCCTAATAACTATGGGGTATTCATGCATATATATATAATGCATGTAACTATATTTAAGTTCTATGTCTTTCTATAGCTTTTGGGATTTCTAAAAAACATAACCACAGCACCTAGAGCAATAAACCTCTACAGCCTGTTAAACTATTTGCATATATTTTGTGAAAGCAAGGTAACCTATAGAAAACAAATTGTGAAAGTTATGTATAAGAAACCCTCAGTGCAATAAAATTCCTCTAAAAAAAATTGTGCAAGCTAGCAAATTATGTGTTCCAACATGTAAACCATAAATCAAATTAAAAAATTGTAGCACACAGCAATATAAACTCAAATGGTTGCTCATAATATAAACATTGCATAAATGAATAGAGAAAACAGAAATTGTGTATGTGGACAATAAATATGTGCTACATTGCCAATGTATTCTTAACGGCATACACATAAATTCACCCATAGACTTGCACATATGAGTGCTGAATTTAATATAGATATAGAAACCAAATAAATTATATTTATTTAGTGAAACTGTCCCTTTAAGTCTCAGGAAACAACTTACTTGTGTTTGTGCGGTATGTCTCCAATATATCGTGCTCCAAAATACACCAGCAACAAAAAATATCCAAGACAATGGTGTGAACCGTTCCCTTTAATCTGCTGTGGATCAGTGTAATTCACACAATATGCAGATACGCGTGCTCCTTAGTATACATCAACCATCTAACACACTAGTGCGCTCACCTCCAGGTTTGATCCCCGCTAATGCCTGGTCAAACCTATGCTTTTCCCCCCTTTTAAACCCGGGAGGGTATACTGGTGTACATAGATCTGCACCACTATCAGCACTTTAAACTCTCCAGAATTGAGCTCCACACAAACATAGGAAAAAATACTCCATGAATAGATGTAATATTGTAGCCAGGAGTAAAAAACTAGCTTTATTAAAATGCTGAAAATGCGAACTCACATTTAAAAGTGTTCACCTGGGACACTAATGGGTAAAACTCACGTATAACAGTATGTACAGGAATCCCTTTTCCAAAATGGCGGCACGTCCACTTTCCGGTTTGCGGCTTGACGGCATTTGGCATACCCTTCGCGTTACGTCACGTCATTATTTGCACAACTATTTAATTTCTAAAATCTGTATTTTCAGTTAAAAAAAAAACTCTCATAAATGAATCTTTAGTGCACTCAAACACAAAGTTTACAGTTCAATTTACTGCTAAAGTGTAAATACACGAGACTCCATGGAGTAAAATAAATGGCAAATATGTCTAGCCCATTCAAAATTGGGTGTATCCGTAGCAATTTACAAAAAAAGACACTGCATGCTAGAGACCTATACGCTAGGTCCCCCACCTTACCAGTGATTTCATTGTAAAAAAATCCACGAATAAAGTTCCAAGTGGGTACTACACAAAAGTAGAAGAAAGAAATAGCGTTTTAAAAAACAAAAGATATCAATAATATCTTAGGGGGAGTGAGGGGGCTATGAGCAGGGGATTCAGGTGAAGCCGGTAAGGAGATGGAGCTCCGGACACACTGGCCAAGGTGCACATTGTTCATCCTGGACACTATCCAACCCCCCTACTCATGCATAATGGACATTTACCTGTGAGCTGCAGCTTGGGGCTGTGATACGTCGGTGTGTAGCTGGGTTCTGCTTCCCTTGCATTGGCGAGGATCTGGAGAGGTTCGTCGCGGTCCGGTCCGGATGAGGAGGGCGTGAGATGTCAAGCCTGGCTTGTGAAGCCCCGTGTGAGGATGTGTCAGTGGATGGTGGTGAAGCAGATGCTCCTGCAGTGAAGCGTGCATGCATAGAAGAGCAGTCCAGTTGGAGTGTTACAGATCAGGAGATGGACACAGTGAGAGGGACAGCTGGTTGTAATACACCTGTAAAGCACCAGGAGGGTATAAGGTCATTGTGTCTCAGGATAACC